GGACTGACATGAAACCATAAGGGCTGCTGCTAGTCCATATGTTGGATGTATGAATATTGGAAAACGTGCCTCATCTTAAGACACTTGATCTCCAGCTTTTGAGAAATTACTATTGATATTATTAGAACAAGACACTTCTGCTATTTCCCTGAAAATTGTTACGATAAATATTCAAGTCTATGCCTTCTAGGTTGTGAATAGCATATTCCTAAATGTGGTGCAATTGCATAAAGTACATTTTGTAAAACCATCCACAGTGATCCTGAAAACCCTCTTTTCCCCATTAGAGGGTTCGGGTCTAAAGGAGTCCCAGGTTCAAATCTTCAAATTTGTATAAGGCTTAAGACCCATTTGCACAGCTGATACTGTATTTCCCACCAGGCTAATCTTATTACTACTGCTTTCTTACCAGTCTTTCAGCTTTGTTTCATCTCATAGCTTCTTCCCTTATTTGAGACGTATGTATTTGTGTGTCATGATGGGCTTGGTTAGGATGGTTATGATGCCGTAACAAACAGCCTCTAGACCTCTACGGTGTAGCACAATAAAGGCTTACTTATTGATCCTACTATGTGTATAATGTGTCGTGAGTGGCAGGGAAGCTCTGACCAAGTCAGTTAGGAGCTTAGGATAGTGGAGGCTCCACCTTGAAATGTACTTTTCCACCTGGCAAGGGGAAGAGAGAGTGGCAGGATCTCTCACGGGCAAATATTCATCTATCTGGAAATGATAAATATCACTTCCACTGGAATGTCACTGGTCAAAGCAAAGCAAATTTGGCTCAGTTCAAGGGCAATGGTAATCTTTCTGTGTTCCTGGAAGGAGAACCAGAATGTTCAGTGATGAGCACTAATCACTACCACAGGACATTAAATAGGGGATTTCTTAAAGAAAGCATTCATTTTTTGTAATGCCAAATGCATATCTATAGGTAAGTTTTATTTGGTGTGCAATAGTATTGCAGCAAAAGGGACCCTATTTTTTATAGGGATAAGGTCTTGCTATGTTGCCCAGGCTGGTCTCAAACTCCTGGTTTCAAGTGACCCTCCTGCCTTGGCTTCCCAGAGTGCTGGGATTATGGGCATGAGCCACCACACCTGGCCTCTGTCCTCTTTACTGCTACTTTGATTATGTGTACATTGGTACACTATAGTGTCTCACACTTCTCTGAGGTTCCGATTATTATATAATGATTATATGATTATTATGATTGTGCCATCTTAGAGTATACTAAAGAGACTTTCATAGTCTATATTTTAGAAACAAGAAAGCAACTGCAGCAGAAATGCCTAGTACCTTCTATTATTTAATTGTGTATGGAAATAGAAGACACAATCTATTGCTTATGCTCCATATGATCTGCTACATTTCTCAAGCAGAGAACTTCATATACCATTGGAAATATATCTCAATATATCTTTTATAAAGATACCTCAAGAGAAACTAAAACTTGACAGTGCTTTTAATTTAGCAGAAGAAAAAGCCAAGTGACAGACTCAAACCTCTGAGGATATGTTGTTGATAGACTACTTATTCTGAGTTTGGAGAAAAATAGATAAAACTAAAACCAATATTGGAAGCAGCTAATTGTCCTGGTGAAGAACCATAGCCGGGGTGATGCTGGTGGTAGGAATAGGAAGCAAATAGGAAGGGGCAAGTCCCTTATTTTCATCCAACCTACCATTCTCCCTCTAACAATTCTTTTGGCAGAATCTAACAAAAGCTAGATAACAAAGGAGAAATGTGATTTTCAGTGTCCCAATCCTGACCGACAAAGTAGAACACAGAAAGGTAGTTTTGAAGCTGACAGATAATAGTTTAATAGCATCCATTATTCCCTAAACAATGAGGATGAAAATCTAATGCCAACTGAAAGATTTATTTAAAGTACACCAATGCTACAAATAATAGAATAGCCAAATGGACATTTAGGATGTTCCAGGCATTATTAAATACAATGCCTGAGTTAACTTATTTAATATTATGAAATTACAATAATTACCTATTAACAAGACAGGAAAGTGTTATGGGCTTACTCTTACAACTTAGAAGTGGCTATAGTCTTTTACTTTAGATTTGTGTTTT